GGGGCCAGAGGACTCCTTATCTGTTTTCTTCGGAGGGTTGCCATTTGTACCAGGTCCCTAAACCCTAAACTATAGGTCCCCCAAAACTATATCAAGCATGGTCTTTGGGGGCCGAACCCATAACAAGCGTGGTCTTTGGGGACCAATAATTTAGCAGTGTTAGTGTGGATGATATAAGTCCTGCATTACCTTAAGGGCCCTAAACTATGGGAGTTCTGGTATATTCCTTATTATGGGTAATGCAGGAGTTAAATCATCAACCGCAGTGTGGACACTTCGGGGGCCTAGCATCAGAACCCTGCAGCCCAAAACCATCTTCAACCTACGGCCCGGAAAGCATCCAGTAAAAGGGGCTTTAATAACTATAATAGGGGTTTAGGGTTTGGGGTTTTGGGTTTAGGGTTTTGGGTTTAGGGTCTTGGATTTAAGGTTTAGGGTTTAGGTCTTAGGGTTTTGAGTTTTGGGTTTAGGGCTGAGGGTGTGGGGTTTGGGGTGCCGATTACAGTATAGCAGTATCAGGGACTCTACGCGGATGATTCTGTTAACTTTCCCCGACCCCTACACTACGAGACTCTGGCCTACGGTCCAACTTGAAGTAGCATGCCAAGCGGCGGGTTCTCTGTGTTACCCTAAACCCTAAGCCCTAACCCTAAACCCTAAACCTTAAACCCGAAACCCTAAACCCTAAACCCTAAACCCCCTAAACCCCCATAAACCCCCTAAACCCCCTAAACCCCCTAAACCCTAAACTGTGGGATCTCTGTGGTTCAGACTCCCGGCCCTCCACCCCCGCTTGCAATACTTGGAACTTCTAAACCAGTCCAGGCTATACTACTGTTGATTATTTAAATCTAGCGGCTTTAGGGTTTTAGGGTTTAGAGTGTAGGGCTTTAGGGTTTAGGGTTTGGGGGGTACTACTGTTGATGATTTAAATCCTGCATTACCTTAAGGACCCTAAGCTATGGGAATGATGGTATATTCCTTGCTATGGGTAATGCAGGATTTACATCATCAACCATGCAGGGGCTCCCAAAAAGAAGGTTATGCTGGTTCAGGGTTCAGGACCTATGGTGGCCCAATCCGCGGCAGAATTGCATGGATTGCTTGGTGACTACTTATATATTGAGACTCCGACACTCATGCTCCCCACACGAAGAAAACTTCGGACTGAGCTTTACCCCCTGAATTCCATAGGCCTTTCAACCCTACATCCAAAAAGGTCCTTTGCACAGAGGAAAATCGGGTTCGAGACGTAATTACTTACCAGAACCTCCAACAATCTGCTATCTTGCAGGGTCCGAATTCATGTGCACCTCCGTAATATCGAATTAGAAAACGACCAGTCGAGCTCAGAACCTCCTCTAAAAACCATAGAAAAAACCATAGGGTGAAGGGTTTAGGGCGTGGGAGTATAGCGGACTTTAACCCTGCAAGCAGGACCCTTTGAGCGGCTGGCAAACCGGTGGCAGGCACGAAACATCCTGCGGTTAAGAAATGGAGACATCTAGGATTGCAGTTGGGAGTCTATGCTTGTAGGTCTAGGGTCTCACCGTTTCGAGAATGCTCTTGGCTGCAGACAATCAGCGTCATCGGCTCCGATTCAACCAAGCCCTAAAGCCAGTACACAATCCTGTATCACGAAGCTGTTGCCGTATCTTCCCAGCTGATGCCAGTTGCACTTTCTGCCACACTGATGACCCCCAAACCTTTATGAACACCACCCGAATTCTGCCTTCACAGTTGGCCGCAATGTCGAATTTCAAGCTCAACAACACGAACCACAAACTATGAACATCGGCATAACAGAGTTTAAACCCTAAAATCCCAAACATCCTGAATACTTCCTGAATCATAAAGTATGAACATCGGCATAACAGAGTTTAAACCCTATAATCACAAACATCCTAAAATTCAAATCTTGAAGTCGTAAGCCCAAAGCCTTGACACTCTAAACCCCGAATTTACACCCGAAAGCCCAGCATCAGCTGTCAGAATCATGCCATATAAATATGTATACGAACCCCAACAAACGGAACAGCTTGGTAGCAATTATGAGAAAAGTCATCATTCCAGCTCCGCTTCTCATTCTCCCCGCCTTGGGCACATAGGAGAGCCAATCGAGGATGGCGCCCATGCCCTTTCAGGGTTGGGTGTTCAATGAGGGTTTTTTTACAAACGGAAAAAGTTCTGGTGAAGAGCGAACGCCCGAGCCACGAACTAAAGCTCCCTAAACCCTAAACCTTAAATCCTAAACTCTAAACCCTAAATCCTACATCCTCAACCCTAAACCCTAAATCCTACATCCTAAACCCCAAACGGTTCAGGATCATGGGGGGCTGGAAGGTTCCGGCTTCAGCCAGGCCCAAATCTCGACATGAGTCTACATGGTCTCTGTGTGCAAACATGTGCAGCTCATGTCATAAGCCCCTACACCCGCCTAGTTCTAGTCTGAGTCTTCCGGCTTCTTTTCAGCCAGTGATTCGATTTTAGTTGGGGTGTAAGCTGCCTTTGCTGATTGGCCTTTCACGACCCAGGCCGCTCCTGCAAAACTTTCAGCTCTAAACCCTAAACCCCTTTAACCTTGGCCCTTGAATCGAAAGTTCTACCAGCCCATGCCCGAACCTCTCACAGGCTCTGTAACCGCTAAGATTCCAACGCCAACAATCGCGGCAGCCGGAATCCTAAACCCCAAGCCCTGACCGTAAACGCTAGACCCTAAACCCTAAACCCAAAGCCTAAACCCTCAACCTCAGCCATCAACCCTATGCTGCAGACCCGACCCTCCCAGCCATGAACCATAAGCCAAAATCACATTAAACCCTGAATCCTAGACCCTGAATCAACACCCGAAAACCCAAAACTCCAAACCACTAACCCTTAAGCCCTAACCCCCAAACCCCACACCCTGCACATAAGCCTTGAACTACATTACAGGAAACTACAGGTGAGTTTAGGGTATATAGGGCTTCTATACGGCTTCTATAAGGTATGTAGACCTTCTATAAGGCTTCTATAACGGTACCTACCCACCTAAAATACAGCCATGAACCTTCAACCCCAGGCCTCCTGGTCGTCTCGCACGACCTGGATACCCAACAAGCAACGACTTCATCGGGAGTTTCTGCACTTTCTGGGACCCGAAAAACCCTGAACCCTGAACCCTAAACCCGAAGCCCTAAAACCCTAAAACCCCAAACCCTACAACCCTAAAATCCTAAATACGCAGCCTCCTGAAAAGAAGGCTCGAAGGGCTTAAGGCTGAGAGGTGGTAGGAGTTACCCTAAGTAAGGCTTTGGGGTTTAGGGTTTTAGGGTTTAGGGCTTCAGGGTTTTAGGGTTTAGGGTAAGGACTCGCATTTTAAGGCGTTTGGGCCCAAATACCATCTATATACGGCTTTTGGGGCTATTTTGAGCCTTCGGGTTAGGGCGGTTAGGGGTTAAGGGAGTTTAGGGCGGTTAGGGGTTTCGGGCCTAGTCACCAAAGACATCAGAAAGCTGACCCTTAGCATCAGAACAGCCCCAAAAGCCTTATATAATGAGGTCTTTGGGCGCAAAAACCTAAAAACATGAGTCCTTTGACGGTAAGGGTGATTGCCTCAAAAGCAAGAAGGTCTCCAGTCTAAAGCCTCCTGATGAACTGCATTCCGTCGGAGAAAAAAAGATGCCCGACCAGGGTTTAGGGGGTTTAGGATTTTAGGGTTTAGGGCTTAGGGGGTTTAGGGTTTTAGGCTTTAGGCTGTCAGAAAAAAAGATGCCCAGCCAGGGTTTCGGGCCGAGGAGTTTCCTCGTGCAGAGCCAGAGGAACCTTCCTTGACCTACGGCTGATGATATAAAGCCTGCATTACCCATAATAAGGAATATACCATAATTCCCATAGTTTAGGGTCCTTCATGTAATGCAGGATTTTTATCATCAACAGTAGAGAGCTTGAAGCCTCACTGGCCCAGTAAAACAACTCCTAAAGCCATAGTACCTAGTGGGTCATAGCAGATCCTTTTTAACCATAAAACTAGCTGCCCTAAAAACGGGGTAGGGTATGACCGTCTAGGTTCAGGCCCCTTTACTAGTGTAGAAGAGCTGGGGTGGATCATATACTATGGTTGTTGAAATCCTGCGTCCCATAAAGATCCAAACAATCCTAAACCCTAAACCCTAAACCGTCGCTGAACCGTAGGCGTTCTCGTGGATTCCCACAACTACACTTCAGGCCTCAGCTCTGAGTTTAGGCTTCACGTACCTGCTCTGGAGTGTTTTGGGTGTCTTGGGCGTGAGGTTTAGGGTTTAGGGTTTAAGGTTTTGGAGTGTTTTGGGTGTAAGGTGTAGGTGCCGGCTTTAGAGGGTGTTGGAGAGAGGGACCAGGGTTATGGATTACAGGGGAAGCCAATTCAATAATTAGGGGGAGGCAGAGGTCTGGCGTTTAGGAGGTACAGGGTACAGTTTAGGGTTTAGGGTAAACCACATCAACTGATAGTTATGACCACATGTGGGGCTTAGGTAGATCTACAGAAGAAACTCGTGTCGGCTGTGGGCACTTCCTTTTGCTGCCAGCATCACCTGTGATTCTCACGGAGGTTCGCGCGAATTACAGTTGGTGTTGCAGTGCAGGTTATGGTGCCAAGCACACCACAAACCCGACGCTGTCACAGCTGTAATATAGAAGCCTAAATAACTACCAATATTATTCCTTAAGGTTCCTTGCTATAAGTATAGTACAAAGGAAAAGCCCTAATCTAATCATTAAGGCCCCTATATTAGGCAGCTTTGGCTGGGATGCTTGAAAGACATCTCCTGTCACAGCCTGGAAAGCAGCCCTATCTTGCTAACGAGCCGGGTGCTAGATATGTGCCGCCAGTGTGTGTGTGTGTGCATCACATACAATGTTTCTGTCACATGTTGAAGTTCAACAGCTTCGTATCTAGCGCGAAAAATACGACCTGTCTTAGGATCCTCATCAGGATGTGAGACCGGTCAAGCCAAAAATCATGCTGTACAACCACACACTTGACGCCATGGTTCAGTTGCTTTGGCAATCTCCTCATAGGACTTAAGGCCATCCAGCGGTGTTACCGGCCCCTTCGAGGTCCAAGGCATGGCAGCACACATGCTCTTCGTTACCTTTGTTTGGGGACCGAACAACGCCAGAAACTCGAAGCAGAAAGTTGGGATGTCCAAGAATCCGCCCAAATAAAGCCGGGCCACCCGACGGAAAAGTCTACGTGTCTGGCTCTCGCTCTAGAAAAGGACAAGGGTACGAGTAACCATTCAACAGCGGCCGACGGGGTGAAACCACCCAATTTAGGATTACTGCTTGACGGATCTGGAGACAAAGTCAGTAGGGCTATACTTACGGCAGCTACACTTATGCCTGATTAAATTCGTTATGAGACTTTTTCTCTCTACTCTCATCAGTCTTGCCAGGTCCCATTCATGGGTCCTTTAAGTGATCTGCCTAGCCGCTGCTTGCGCTGCCGCCATGCTGGCTGAGAAGGCATCCACGGCTGCAGCAGGGAGCTCCATCTTCGCGGTGTCGCAGGAAGCCATGCCTGGGTTCTTGTTTTAAGGGGATTTGATTCAAGTTGCCAGAACCCTAAGGGTCCATGTGCCCAAATAGTAGATACTTTGGCCTTCAAGTAGTCCCTATTTGGGTACTTTGGGGCCAAAGTATCTACTGTTATTTGGGTACATGGACCCTTAGGGTAATAGGGACCCATCCTAAATAATATGGCTTCCGCATTATGGTAACTTAAGTTAAATCCTTTAACAAGAACCCAGATGCAGATGAAGCCAGTAGTGAGAGCCTGCTGCTGGGGCTGCTCAGCTGGGTCCTCCCAGTCGAGGTCGCAAATGGCCCGGTGCCAATTGTAAAGCGCCTTGGCCAAGTCTTCCGGCTGGTAGAGGTCCAGCTTGTTGGTTTGGTTCCCATAGAAGCAGGCACTTGGCAGCTGCTTCTTTGCCGCAATCACAAACTTCGAGGGCTGCGATGTGGAGGGCAGTTGGACCAGCGCCTTCAAGACTACATCGACTCGTTCCGGGTTGTGGTGCCAGAAAGCCTTAGGGGCTGAGTACCCTAGCCCAAAAAAGGTTAACCTTTTGAGTTATAATAGGTTTATATAAGCCAAAAAGGTCAAAGGTTACCTGCTCAGCCCCTAAGAAGCATAGCCATCCAAGGGAAAAGGACCAGACCCAGGTGACACAACGGAGCGGCAAGTGCCGTCTGCAATCGTCGCGCGCCCGATCTGGTCCTGTAGCGTTGCGGGGACGCCGACATCCTTGAAGTGCTCCAAGCGCTCGAAAATCGCACTGTCCAAGAAGACCGGAGCACTGGGAGCATCCACTACCGTCGCCTGGCCGCGGAGCGATGAAGTGCTGACCCCGGAAAGCTCTGCGTGGGCGGCGACATGCGACACCCACCCAGCCAGGCTCAGGGCTGTAGCTAGGACAGAAACCATGGCTCTATCTCGTGGCGCTTGAGGGCTACAATGGGCTTCTGCTTTGAGCCTCGGGGAGTGATCAGCTTTGCTTGCCGAGAACTGGATAATGCGTAGGGTTTAGGGTTTAAGGTTTAGGTTTCGGGATAGAAGGAAGAATAACCAGCGACGTAAGTATCTGGGCGCCCTACTTTCACTATCAACTTTCAGCCTTTCAGCGGCTGGCAGCCCCAAATCATACACTTCTAAGCCCCAACCACTCAACCCTCGACTCAATCCAAACCCCCTCCACCCAAACCCTAACACCTCAACCACTCGGCCCCCCCTAAAAAATACCGAGCAAAGTCTTCCGCCCCTGCGCCGGCCTGATGTGTGACGCCATTGGGAACCATGATCTGGGGTCCTCCCAGCTGGTCCTGGCCGAGGCTTTCGGGTTGGGTTTCGGGCTTAGGGTTTAGGGTTTAGGGCTTAGGGCTTAGGGTTTAGGGTTTAGGGTTTAGGATTTAGGGTTTAGGGCTTAGGGTTTAGGGTTTATGGACCAGGCCTCCACAACGCTTCGGATTCTGGGCGGTTTAGATTCCTAGGGTGTAGGATTCTTGGGGCTTGGGGTTTATAGAGGGCGGTTAGAGCTTTCAGGGTCTATAGGGGTTTAGCGCTTAGGCTGTGGAGGGATTAGGGTTCAGCTTTCGGGTTAGAGGGGCGTCAAGCTGATGAATCTTCAATATGTATCTACGGTTTAAGTCGAGAGCTTCGGTTGATGATATATAAATTTCTGCATTACCCATAATAAGGAATATACCATAATTCCCATAGGTTAGGGTCCTTAATGTAATGCAGGATTTATATCATCAACAGTATGTATTTGCGGTTTAAGTGGAGAGCTTGGCTCTGCCTTGAAGATTCCGGAGCACCAAGCCCAACACGGTTTGCAGGCTTGAGGATCCAGGGACCAATGCAATCAAGCCACCTGAACAACACAGCCTTGAATTCGGGGGGTTTAGGGTTTTAGGGTTTAGGGTTTTGGAATGATTCAAGGTCAAAAACAACACAGCATTTTGCATTCGGGGACAGGGAGGGGGTGGGGATCTAGGCCGCCCTCATGCATCGTGTCTCCTGAGAGGAGTAGACGTTCTTGCCCAAGAGCTTGTTCAAGGCCGCGTAGCCCGTGAGGATCATGGGACTGCTGACCTCATCTCTTAGCAGTTTAGGGTTTAGGGTTTAGGGGTTTAGGGTTTAGGTAGGGTTCTTTGTCTTGTGCGGAAATCGCTTCTACGCTTCTTTAGGGTCCGTGCAGGGCGTAGGCATCGGAGAAGACCAGGCATACCGAGCACAGTTCCTGCTTCGGTTTAGGGTTTTGGGGTTAGGGTTTAGGGTTTAGGGGTTTAGGGTTGAGGGTTGACAGAACAAAATTTCAGAACACTGTGTCATAAAAGCAAAGGACCCTAGCACAATAACTCCTAAAGCCCATACACCCTACACCCCTCAAGCAGGTATCGGGGCATGTAAGGTTTGTGTACGAATACATGCAATTGCTTGAGAAGACGCAACAAGCACAATCCAAGTGATGATGATGGTGATGGCCATAACAACAGCAGTTGTCCCAACATTTTGTGGGATAAGACCCCTGAACCCAAAACCGTAAACCCTAAACCCTGAGCCCTAAACCCCCAACCCTCAACCCTAAACCCTAAAGCCTGAACCCTGAACCCTAAACCGAAAAGCCTGAACCCTAAACCCTGAACCCTAAACCCTGAACCGCAAACCCTACAAACCCCAAACCCCAAACCCTGAACCCTAAACCCTGTAAAGTCTAAACCCGTATAAACCCTGTAAGACCTGGTGCCCCTCTAGAGGTTTCCTTTTGTGGGTTCCCTCAGAGGCTTTAAGGAAAGAAGAGTGAAACCGAGTCCCCGACCATCTGAATGTTCCGCTGACCCAGGCGGTTCCTGGGTTTGGCGTTTAGGGTTGAGGGCTTGGGGGTTTTAGGGTTTGGGGTTTAGAGTTTAGGGTTTAAGGTTTAGGGTTTAGGGTTTGGGGTTTAGAGTTTAGGGTTTGGGGTTTAGGGTTTGGGGTTAAGGTTTTGGGGCTCAGGGTTGAGGGTAAAGGGTTTAGGGTTTAGGCTGAATTGTGAGGCACCACGCAACCCAGATTTAGGGCTTTGTTCAAAGCCACACATGATGTGGAGTTTTGTTACCAGCATCCTCCAGAAATAGCACAGAAACAACGTACACTCATCAAGTTCCTTCCTGAGGACCTTTTCAGGTCCTCGCCAAAATGCCTAACATAAACCATACTTCCGTAAGAACCCCGCCGTAGTTCAAGGATGTTCAAGGCCTTCAACCCCAAAGAAAACAAGCTATGTACGGCTTTTCGGAATAGTTCTTTGCCTCGGGGTACCCCTAACACCCTGTAAGCCTACACCCTCTAAACCCTAAAGACCTTCTCGCCTCGACAGCCATTAGAGTAAAGTAACAGAACTTAGTCACGGGCCTAGACAATCAGAGTAGGCTGAAGAGGGTTTCGAGTTATACCATGGGTATACGGTATATGATTGCATTTTGATCAAAGCAGCAAGGGATCAGGCTTCTACAGTAGTTACACAAATCAAGAGCAAAGCAAGAAAGAGTTATTCTCCTAAGCCCTAAACCCAAAACCCAAAACTCTAAAGTGATTCTCATGACAGTCCAGGTTCAGGTAGGCACCGATACCCACGGAACGCCCCGTGATGTAGGAGAGGGTAAAGGTCTCCTGCGCGGGTTTATGGTTTAGGGTTTCGGGTTTAGGGGTTTCGGGTTTAGGGTTTTGGCTGCGCTTCAGCGCTTTAAGGCTGCGACGGATAAAAGTCCTCCTCGGGACTTTTCCGACAAAGTAGCACAGATTTTTTGGAGTCCGCGTGATAAGGATCCTACTGGTTTAGGCTCTGTATTACCCTAAAGATCCATGTACCCAAGTGGTATATACTTTGGCCTTAAGGTAGTCCTTAGTAATGAAAATTGAAGCCTAAGTATATACTATTTACGTACATGGACCCTTGTGGTTATGTAGATTTAGACTTAAAATTTAAGGCTTCAAGGTTTTGAGATTGGGGATACAAGGCTTCGGTGCTATCCGGCTTTTGGGGGTTTAGGATTTAGGGGTTTAGGGTTTGGGATTGTAGGGTTTAGGGCTTAGGGATTTTGGGGTTTAGGGTTTAGGGGTTTGGGGGTTTAGGGTTTGGGATTGTGGAGCTGGGGGCTAGAGAGTTTCGATCCCTTGCCACTCCAGAAGTTGTCGGGTGCAGGGGTTTGATGGTTGGAGGTTGAGGGTTTATAAATTACAGGGGTTTAGGGTTAAGGGGGCCGACTATGGAGGTCTCGCCAATACTTTCCCGTAGTCACAGTACCGTGCCTACTTGTTACCGCACCGCACAGGATCACGGCCCTGGAAGGGAGGGATGGAGCGGGTGGTGGAAGGGTGCAGCACAAATCACAATTAGATATGCTATGCATGATGACCCTACCCCCATGTAAGGTCATTGGGTTTCATGGCTTATCCAAAGGAGGCACTGTAGACGTTGGGACCCTTCAATCTCGGGTTCTGAGACATCCAAAAGCCCCAGCTCTCTCGCCAGGCATTCCCGGACCCTGCCAAGGAGATACTTGGGACTCTTGGGGCAAGATGTGGGTTACTGGGAGTACCGCCTTAAACACTTAACCACTTATCCAGGGCATCTTTTTCGTTAGAGCAGGCAGCTATAAATAAGCGGCCGATTGCGGACCTTTAGAAAGGGTATTGGTTTTGGTAACAAGCACCGGTACCACTGGCATCGGCTCTGCTAGTAGGTATCGGCTCCCCACACGAAGCTGAGATTTGTTCTCCTGTAATTAGCACCGCATCAAGAGGCACGAATAACGTGAAGAATGCGAGCCGCCCAGTTTCAATCTTTAAGGATCCAAAGATCACACTGGGGAAGGTCCGGACGCTCCAGGACAGCTCTTTGTGTCTCTTGAGGGTCTCAACAATCCTCGATCTTGAGGCTTTTCGGACAACTTAGGGTGGGTACTTCTTTTTTGGGTTTAACCAATATACATGAAGGATCCTATAAGGTATCCCCAAAAAGGAACTACAATGGAGACTATAGGTAGGGTTTACCTATAGTCTCCCTTGTACTTCCGCTTTGGGTTACCTTAGTACTGTAGAAATGGTTGAACCAAAACAGAGAACCGCACTGGAGACCACAGATAGGGTTAAGGGGCAGCAATACTTTCCTGCATGGCCCAAAACCGCCAATTGAAATGTCCCTGTCCCACACACTAAACACTAAACCCTAAAACCCTAAGCCCTGAACTCCCTACATCCCCCAAGCACAAAAAACACGCACCGAATAAAATCAGCATCAAGTCACACAAGCTCTCCTGGTATGCCCGGCTGGTTTCGCCAGCGATGAGACCGCTTCCCTGCAAATTCTCCACGCCGATGCCGCCCCTCAGATGACAGTTTGCAAAAGTAATTAAGAATGGCCCAACGCTTGTAATTGAAAGTTGTAGGCATTCCCTCAACCCTCAACCCTAAACACTGAACCCTAAACCAAGCCCCAAACTTCGGCGCGTCACCTTGTGCCCGTGTCCCTGCGCGCGTTCTAAGCCCAGCTGCCTGCCAAAGCCTCATCAAGCGCCGACGGTTGATGATATAAATCCTGCATTACCCCAAATAAGCACTATACCACAATTCCCATAGTTTAGGGTCCCTAAGGTTATGCAGGATTTATATCATCAACCGTATATCAACAAACATGAAACCCTGATAAAGTCCCAACCCTGACCCTTAAACCCCATCCCGATAGCTGAAATGCGGAAAACACGATACAGCCCCTAAACCCTAAACCCATAAACCCTAAACCCTAAACCCCTAAACCCCTAAACCCCTAAACCCTGAACCTTAAACTGTGCAGCTCAGTTGCTGTGTGCTCTTCTGGCCCTCGCCAATGATAGCATCCAGCACGTATCGCTCCTCACCGCCCTGCGAGACCTTGTGTGCCTGCG